ATAAACTAAGACTTTTATTTTTTTGGAAAAATCTGTAAATAAGACTATTCATAAAATTTATCATGACAACAAAAATTCTTACCTAGTTAACTGTAAAACAAAAGTTTTAATAAATACATAATTTTATTACTGCATTCTGATCCCCATCTGACGCGGCACTTGTCGAGTGTACCTGTTTAGGACCAACCATTTGTTATTCTAACCAAATATCAAAAGTATAATTTGGTTATAAAATCTTTTGTAATTGAATTTCGTCAGCGTATATTTCCTTTGATTTATGGGTCCCCATAGTATCATACCACTTGATGAGCATATCCACTTTTATAAAATACCCGTACACATACTTTTCCAAAAGATACGTTAATAGAAAGCAGTAGAAGAAAAAAAGTCCCATAACAATTCAATCACATATAGCCAAATAAAAAGTTAAAATCATAAACCATATTTTTGGTTTCTCCCAGTAAGCCCACTGGGCTTGTATTCCCATCCCCAGTGTAACCCATATAGATGAATCACTAGAAAAGAAAAAAAAAAAGAAGAAGAAAAAATTTAATGTTTTCAGAATTACACCAACTATGAACTATAAATCAACAACAAATTATTAAATAAACGAAACCATTATCAGTTCGAATGACACCTACTATGAACAATAAATTTGTATCAAAGAATACCCTTGTACATTAGAATCGTGCTTAATTTGTTAAATATCGCGAAATATATAACAAAAAAAAAAGTGCTGCAAAATCAAAGTTGGGCTTTATTGACATAGACATGGTCCATTAACTAATACGGGCTTAGCACTAGTTTAGCCTTTCTTGTACAAATCTACGAAGATATTCACCAGAATTGTTGCATTGTGGGCCAGAATTTCTATGAGACAGAAACTGTGTCCTTCGAAAAATGGAATGTAGTAGCCACGAAATATTCAGATTTTTCAAGATATAAGAGATTGAAACTCAAATTTTTGTGGTTTAAAATCAATTCCAATAAGAGATACTAAATGTTCTGCGTTTTATTTACTATGGTTCATTAAGGTGTTGTTCGTTTCCTCAAGTGAATGGTCATCTGATGGAGATGCGGATGATGTTCGTTTACACTCAGTTTAACGAATAAGTTAGATGGATCAGTCGAATGAGATAATTAAATTTACCTTGAAAAACACAAAAAAATCCCGCTGATTTTGAATGATGCATTCAAATGTATCAGTTTGTCTAAAATACTCCTATGTAAATGATGCATTCAAATGTATCAGTTTGTCTAAAATACTCCTATGTAAATGATGCATTCAAATGTATCAGTTTGTCTAAAATACTCCTATGTAAAATAAAAAATTACACCAACCCATATTTTTTTATCGTCTCCAATACCCCTAGGATTTTGTCATTGTTCATCTCTTTGTGTTTTCTTTCAAATTCTACGAAATGGGTGTTTGAGTCTCTTTAACGTTCAAGTTCATTAAATTCGGTAAATCGAATTTGGTATAAAAGTGATTAAACTATAAGAAAGTATCTATTTCTTTAGATTTATTAAGTTTAATAAAAATTTATATATGTAAAAGATAATAGTTGAAAACTATTTGTTGTACTTGTAATTTAAATCATAAAATACATTAAAATAAAAATATGTTTAGTCATCTTGATACTACATGCATATATATGCAAATATAAATTTTTAAAAACAAAGCAAACAACCAAAGTTGCATCTCCATCTGTGACAACCATATACAATATCATCCAAATGCATAATCTGGATAAATCATATGGATGTATCGTCCTGATGAACAAACAACATGCCATAAATTTCTAAGACTTTTCTACTACCTCCGTAGAAAATAAGTTAGGTTGCAATTGACTATGTCTAAACATTCACACCTTATATGATGACCTCCACTCACATTCAAACGATTTTCCAATGAAATATAGCTTATGTAGTAACAAAATGTGCTTATCACCTTAGCAATACGTAGTAATATAAACAGATTTCCCTAAAGATAGATTTGTCACTTTAGGATTTAGGAGATAAAAAAATCAGTTAATTAGTCAATTGTTTTGCACCGTTTTAATTGAACGTACGTTCAACTTCTTTTACATAATTACTATTTCTTTTTGCGGTGTACAACTTATTATTCTCAAACACTGCATGATTTTCATAAGAGTTATGACAAGGATGATACAGAACAATTTTAATTATTATGCTCCTACTATTTGAAGTATCAATATACAAATTTCTGTATTCTTCATATCAACCATTACAAAATATAGGACACAAAAAGAAAAATTGTGAAAATATAAAGGTAAAAAGAAAGAAAAACAAAGGGAAGGACCACGTAAGAGAGTAAGGAGTAAAAAGTATGATTGTCCGAAAGAGAGTTGCAGATGTTACATGAAGAGGGAGAGATTAGAAGTCGTAGCTTACTAGCCGTGACAGTCTTGGAGTAGTAGTGTGGTCCTTCCTCACCTGATCCCTTCTCTCTTTCCTACTCATAACTTATGCAAATCATTAACCTCCCAACAAAAAAAAAAAAAAAAACTTATGGTTTTTGGTGCCTCATCATTAACATTTTAATTAAAATCAGTCCAATTTGTACCCTATATTCATTTATTCTCTTATACCGATGATGCATATTTTCTTATATATGTATTGGATATTGTAACAAGCAATCGACATCTTACCTAAGATAGAAGTTATTGATCATGTCATAATTCATATACAAATATCGACTTATGTCTATTTATACATCAATATTTTACTTATAATTTACATTAATAATTAATTAACATCTACACAAAAAAAATAAAAAATAATTAAACTAAAGAATTTGTTTCACTATTGATTTCGATTTATTTTTTGTTGGTAAAATGATTTCGCTTATACTTACTTACAAGTGGATCTTTCTGAAATAAAGAAAAGGTATTGTTAAAATTTTAATTTAAATTATGAAAAAATCAAACAAAAAATGATAAAACAACTAAAACGATCAATGGTGTTAAATTTCGATTGGCAAGATTGTAAAATATTGGTCTTAGTGTATTTACACAATTATCCACATGCAAAACTCTTATTATGGTTCCATATCTTATGATTATTACAAAATTATTAAGTAGATCTAACTAATTACTAAATGATTAAAAACACGATAAAGAAAAGATGTTCCTAGCTAGTGTCGACTATGATTGGTTGGGCTTTAAATTTGGCTTTGCATTGGTTTTGATTTGATGAAATCGAAATTATCAATCTCTGTCTCGTCACCATTCATACTCTACTTATCATATAAACATAACGCCGTGAAATAACGGTGTTGGGCTTGACTTTTTAAACAAATACTATTCCTTTTTATCTTGTAGGTCGGCACGAGCATACTTTTGTTTTTTTGAGTTCTGAAGTTTTGACCTTCAAGCCACTTGACACGTGACTCGCACGCTTCCGTGAGTGTGAAATGTGAATAATCTCACAATATCTACTAAACAGACACTAATTTACCTCATTCTTTTATGGATCGGATAGTGTTATAGATCTTACGTTAGTCCTGCAAGGTATATCTAGAGTATAAAGAGCCTGTGGTATGGAGGGAACTTGATAGCATTCTAATGTTTTACTTTTGATTGAAAATTGGGGTAATTTACAATAAGATTATATTAACCATGAAATATTGAAGAATAAAAACAAGTAATGGGAAGGTAGGGATAATACACGACATACATATCTAACTTAAGATCACAAAGGACCCTAATAATTAGTTATGTGATAGCAACACTTGCATGTCCCATTTGCAAAACCCTAGGGTACAAAAAACAATTTTGAAAGAAATTTCTTTTTGATGTGGATGCCCCAGGAGAGGCCTAGCAATAGCATAACATTACATCTATATATGGGGGACCATTACTAGCTAACTATTTTCTTACATTTATATACAAATATTTATTGTAAAACTTCTCAAAATGTAATGTTCAAAGCAGCAGGACCATAGAACTAGCAATGTCTCGGATTGTCCTTAAAAGTATAAAATCTATTCTCTTTTAGTTACTTGGTTCTTTCCTCTGAGTGTTTAAGTGAGGATCACAAGTTCATCAAGGACCATCTTTGAGCTGCAAACTATTCATGAAAGATTCTTTATCAAGAGACAATGATTCGCTAGATGTGTCTTTCCACATTTAATTCATTGTTGATAAAGTACTACTCTTGTTTCTTTTAAGACGCCTGATAATAATTAAACCTAACTAAGTACAACGTTTATCATATTCTTTATAATTTATATTCTTCTAAATAGCGCAGCTTACACTTAACGTTTCCTTCCATTATGTGTGCAATTTTGACGTAACTTTTTTTTTTATATATATATATCCTAAAAATCTATTATAACATATAGTCATTTCTTCAAAAATGGGAAAACAAATAATTAGCATGCTCTTCAAGATTTTTTTACTATCTACAGTTCAAATTTTTAACTATATTTGAAAGGAAATTTCTGTAATATTTTTTGATTTTATATGAAGATATGTACACAACTAAAGATCCAAAACCCATTGATTCTTTTTGAAAAAAAGAGTTCTTAAAATATTAAGGGTTTGTCTTTTTTAACATGAATTAATTGCACAGTAATAGGGTTCTAGAGTAGTAGCCCTAGCATCTCCTTTCACTCAGGAAATGTCCCTCTCATCTCTCTCTTTCATCACACACACACACACATACATGCACACACACAAACTCAAACACAAACACAAACACTTTCTCTCTGGTTTAATTAAACCCCCTTAAGCCCACATGACCACCTCTATCTTTTTAAGGTCACGAGACCCACTTTGCTAATTTAGTTTCCACACGCAGAGAGAGAAACAAAGAGAGAGATGGGAGGGAGGGTTTGTGGCAGATAAACTGATAGAAAACTTTCGAACCTCTCTTCTTTAACTTTTACTACTCTCTATTCGTTTTTTCTCTTCCTTTTGTGGTGCCGCCTCCAACTGAAAGTCTTCTAATATATATTCTCAATTATTCTAGCTCTCCGGGAGAAGTCTTATCTCACGCCAATCTCTCATTTCCCACTATGTATATGCCCCACAAGATCACTTTCTTAATTCTATCTTCTATTCATTTCCTAATCTTTAAATTCACACTTTTCTTTATTGAAATTTCTGGCAGGAGGCACGAGGAGAATTACTTAGACCTCAATAATCTTCCAGATGATTTTTCTAAAGATGGCAATAAGCAAGCCCTCGAGGAAGGTTCTTCCTCTGGTATGCATACCTTGAAAAACCCTAATTCTCTTAATGTGTTTTATGTTTTAATATAGTTATAGTTAGACTAGTACTAGTGTGTATAATGGTAAATGTTGGATTATACTTGTTAATTAATGTGAGGGTTTATTTGTTTGGTAATTAGGTCAAAGAAAGAAGAAAGGAAGTAAAGAAGGGAAAGATGAGAGTGGGAAGGTGTACGAATGTCGATTTTGTTCACTCAAGTTCTGTAAATCCCAAGCTCTTGGTGGCCACATGAATCGCCACCGACAAGGTATGTCCATTTATATACACCCTTCTTCAACCTCTTTTAACTTTCATATAATCCACACTTCATATATATTCACACTTTTATTTCGTCCAAATAAACCCATTTTTTCTATATAACTCCTTGTCTTTGATAAATGATTGATGTCACATCCATGCTTTGACTACAACTAAGTACCAGTAGATAGATGTAACTAATTGCATTTAAGACTAAAATTAGTTTGATGTCCTTTTGGTTCTATAAACTTAAAGAGAGGGAGACCGAGACATTGAATCAAGCTCGTCAATTGGTCTACCGTAACGATACCTTAACCCCACCTGGAATTTCTCCTTTCGGGTACTCTCTCTTCCTCCAAAAAACTTCATAATTATAATATAAGTTACTAAATGTACTTAATATCATTATTTCGAGTAAATATGTGCTTTATTATCATATGAATTGATTCTTGGAATTTTTGACAGCTATCATACCACAGATCCAACAATATACCGGTCGGTTTACTCATCACCAATGCTATACCCTGGAAGCTCTTCAACAAACTTGGTTCCGCAACCGCCGATGCCACCGCCGCCGCCGCCATATCCATACTCTTCAAACCAATACTCTCCTCACAACCACTTCAACGACTACTACTTAAACCCATCTTTTAGAGGCAGCAGAAGCATCTCTCCAAACCCTAACCTCCCCACCACCACAACCGTTGATTACATGGCCGATAGTCCCGTGGAACCGAGCTACACTTGTGTTGGTGCACCCATTGGTCCGACCGGTTTCCCTATCCGTGGCTCAAGCAGCGTCCGTGCGCCGCTTGAACCTCCACAAGGTCGTGATGGTGACGCTTCACGGCAGCGTTTGGATCACTCTCTTAGGCTCCCCATCAATCGGTTTCAAGATCATCACTCGCTCTGAGTTTTAATAGATTCCCTCTGCGTTTCTTTTATTTTATTTTTGTTTTTTTGGATATTTTCTTGTTCTCTTATTTTGTAATTTTGTTGGTTCTATGTGAAAGTAGGGATCTAGAATTGTCTAAACGACATGGATCCTACATGTGTTATTATCATAATGACATGTTTGTTGTTTTTTTATTGGTCTAGTCGAATTTTAATTGAGTATCTAATTAATCTCAACCGGGTTTTGTTTTATGTCTAGTATTGATATATATCTAACATTATAATTTGTGTTGTGCTCGATTTTAGTGCGGAATAAATACAAAATGCAAAAATTACCGTACTGATGCCAAATGATGTTAAATCAATTCATTTAAGAGAAAAGTTAACATAGTTATAGATGAGAGGGACCATATATCATGGATGTGTACTATTGGATATAAATTAAAAGGTAAACGTTTAACAAAGTTTCCATTTATGGATACACAATGGAAGTGATTACTATAAGCAAAAAATAAAGCTTTTGCAATATATATTAGAGAACAACGAGAGGACAGAGGAACCGGACAAAGTGGTCAGAGAGAGAGAGAGAGAGGGAGAGAGAGAGAGATTGTCTTGATAATATATGATACAATGTGTAGTGAGATTGGAACAGCCTTTATCTGAGCTCATCTAGAACTCTCAGCTACTTTGGCCTGAAGCTAGCTGTGAGGATTGGGGATTGGAGGGAATTGGTTTATGGGTTTTGGTGTTGGTTGTTCAAAATCAAAATTAAAAAAGGACATTTTTATTGTATATAAAGTTATAAAGTGTAAGAAAGAAGTAACTAGATCCAGATGGAGACCGTTAGATGCAAGCTGAATTCCCCTAACTAGTAAAACTTCCCCTTTGCATTTTCAGCTTTACTCTAGTTTCTATCAACTACTACTTCCATTTTCTTTTTCTTTTTTTAAAAAAAACACTATATAAAGAAAACAATTCTAGTTGTTTGTTTTTGGTTATAAAATAAAAATTTAGACTTGCGTACACTGACCAACATTTACGCCCACTTTACGTGCTACATAAATATTTGTCATCCATAATCAGCTAATTTATTTAGTACTCTCGAACAGTGTACTATAATGCATAGAAAAAAAAAGTAAATTATGATTCTTTTGGTAAAAAAAAAAATCGAATTATTAGGATAGTTTTCTAAAATTCAAAAGGATACATTTTATATAAAAAAACTATTAACTAAGTCATTGCCACTATACAAAATAAATTTATGATTCATAAGTAATTTTGCAAAATTTTAACTTTTGTGCTACGTTTTTACGATAACCTTTTGTTTTGCAATTGACAAAAAAGGATCTTTTGCAAACCCCTGAAGGGATCATCATATATATCGGCGATCGTAAAATATAAGCAAACAGTTTTTTTTTTTTTATGCGCAACCATGAGCAAACTGTATAACAAAAGAATTATATGTTGGACAAGCACATCGATAGTGTACCTTGCCTTGTTTGAAGAAATTATAGTAGACTACACATAGAATAGAAAGGCACATATATATAGAGATATGTGACTATGTGAGGTTGGCGAATCTCTAATTTGATCTGCATTGATTTAACATGATGTCATGAGTTAGCTAGCAATGTTTAATTGTACGGACACTGGCCTACTTGAAGAAGCATATGTTAGTACTTAGTACGTAATATGTATGTAACAGACAGAGATAGGTCTTTACGTTCCAAGCAACGTTTGCTAGGTACGAATCACTGTCTACGTATATGCCTGTATATATACACTCATGCACATATGTGGAAACTAATTAAGTATATATTCTACACGTATATTATAAATGCAATTTGTTTAGCTATGGTCGTTATGATCCATGAGACCAAACTGATTTTTCATTCTATCGTTCTATAGTAAAACATATTTAGATTAATGAAGCAATAAAATTAGATGTTTTTTGATATGGAAAGGATCACAGTAATCAGCCCACAATTTTTAAATCTTTGTCTCGCTATATATAGTTAACCCAAACCGGTCTATCAGTAGCCCGACCTGATTGGACATTTTTCTTATGTAGCTTCGGCCGATCCTACTTCTGAATTTATTTTATTATTATATCGTTTGTTTTATGATTTTATTCTCTCGGGTGATGTCAACTCAAAAGTATGTTGACCAAATAATGTAAATTGAAATTAATTTTTTGGACGAAAGAGCTGTGAATAGTTCCACGGCAGTGACAAGGCACCTATTACACTTTTAGGTTGTCATATTGAGATGCTTGAGACTTTGAGTGAAGATTGGAATATAAGATTTGAATCGAGACATATAATAAAACGTACTATTATGTATCCTTATTTCCAAAATGTTATTGTCAGTATCTTAACTATTTTCTTACTACATAAAAATTTGTTTTAACTCTTGTTGGTGAAATATTAACAAATATGAAATTTTTTGCACAAGTTGAAGATATGTGTATGTGAATTATTGTCAAAGCCAAAATGAATTATCTCTTAGGCCAAAAAAATTTACAGTTTATCAAAAAAAAGAAAAGAATATCCGGTTTAGCCCCACGCACCCTTAAAAATAATGTTTAAAAAAGATATTTAAGTTTGGAAAAACCTTGACCTGAGAGGTTTTGAGTTTTAACCCAAACAGTTGATATTTTCGCGATTAATCTAAATTTGATCCTTGATTTTAGGAGCTAGGATGGACCAAATTTAAGATTTTAAACGTAATTAACATTCCTATCTAAATTTTTTTCATATATGTTACGTTAGAGATGCTTTGACAAGTAAATGCTTTTAGTATCGGTTCAATATACACTTTGTTATTAATCCTACAATGCGTGTTTAGAGTCCATTCATTGCAAGTTTACGTTGGCTATTGTAAACATTTACTGTGGAAAAGATCTTTTTTTTTGTCTAAAGGCCATGAGATTAGTTCGGATTTCGACATACAATTTGAACGGTTTTCTTCAAAAAAATATGTATTTTAAGAAAGTAAAAAAAAGATAATCGCTTATTACAAGTGATGAAGATAAAACGGTGGCTACACACTAGGAAGATGAAGTTAAATGGTTGTGTGTGATGGAATAGGAAAAAAAAAGAAAAGAAAATAGAAAGATATAAAAACTTGAAGCACGAACGAAAGATGTGAACAAGTCACGATTAAGACAAAGAAAAAGAGAGAGAAAGCAATGTGAAGACAACTTTAACTAATTACAAATCTTTCGTATATCGCTAAAAGCCAACATCACACACGTAGAGACAGATCCGGCAAGCAAAAACGTTTTCGTCCCGTACCTTTCTTCCGATTTATCTCGGGATTCTACGTCCGTTATCCACCACATCTCTACATGTATATATGTATATTAAATACATACACAAATATGCTATACGTATAGATAAATACATATACATGAAATTTATATATGTATAGAAGTAGGTATGATATGTGCCTAGTGATAGGCTCAGAACTACACTAAAAATGTTGCAGCTAACTGTTAAATAGCAATCAATCTACACTGCCATCGATTCAAACACTCGGACCGTCGTGCAGTCCAAGAAGCAGAAGAATGTTTAAAGTTGCTGCCTTAATATATGGTTTCTCATTTGCATTTCCATTTACATTACATGCATGTTCTTAACTCTTATTTATTCATTTATCATTCTCTTATTTCTCATGTTCATTAATATATGTCTCTATTGTCTTAATTAACTATGAAAATTTCTTGATGGAAACTTGTGTGGAAGTTGTATATAGTCACGTGGGGACATGATCTTAACTTGCAGTTTCAAATATATATACCAATTTCAAATATTTTATTCATAAATATCTTTGAGTTAAATTAAAGTTGAAATTTTCAAAAGACCGAGTTGTTGTTATCATTGTGAGTAAAAATATTTTTGTTGTAACTCAAAATTTTGTATCTTTCTGCTTCTACTGAAGCTAGGAATAGAAGTCTAGTGGCTAGGTTATGTAGTTTTATATATATACGCTCTTACCAAATAGTACAGTATATATATGTATAAGTTTATAACTTTTCTAGGAATAAATTAGTGACCCCTTGATTATAAGAATATCATAGATGATAGTACGTCTGAATCCAAAATTTATGAATAAACCATTATTTTTTTAGATTCGTTGAAATATCTTCGTATACCGAAATCAATAAACAAATAGACATAATCTTAACATTACTTATAACTGACATGTGTGAATAAACATAAGTAGATTATCTATAAAAACTTTAAAATCCATAATCCGTGGAAAACCTAAAACACTATCCTACCTAAAATAGAAAAACTATTAAAATACACAATATTATAAGAATAATTCATATTAATCCTAATCATAGAACTATGTAAAAATAATGATGAATATCGATAACAAAAAGTGACTCTACAGAAATTTAAATTAATTTATACGATTAATATCAGTTGCAGTAACATATAAATGTTATTACCTATTGATGAAAATAGGAAAGAAGAGATTTTCCTTTTTGATATCTTATAATAATAGACCTATACTAGCCTTGCCGCATGCAACCATGCTACTCTACTTACCATTAAATTAGCCTCATTGTTTTTATTCTCTCTCATTTGTTTTTTTTCTGAACCACACACAAGAACTCTAAAACAATTGCTGATGAATTGAAGTACGAACCTTTTTTTTTTTTTTCCTTCGAATTGAAGTACGAACTAGTGTTCAATCCGAACAACCAAGATAATATATCAAACACGATTAATGATATAATTTTTAGGAACACTTTATAAAAAAATGACTCAGTTCAGAAAATAGTATAGTATTAGCTTAGTTTAATAGATATTAATCATAGGTTAAGGTATGTTTTCAAGAGATTTCTAGACAAGTGTTTGCAGCTCACATGAGCTTTATTTAGAAGAAAGAAAAGTAAAAACTAAAACTATTTACAATCACCAAGAACACTCAAATTGTTTTCTTATAAGATGAAACTGAGGGAGAAATAGAAGTTGCACTTTCTGTAACCTTATATACTTTCATCAATGGTCATTACACATAAATATGAATC